GCCTATTTCAAATACTGTTTTTTTCCCTAATGATATATATGTTAAAGACACCTTTCTGCTTTAATTTTGAAGCTTTTTTTTAACCCTGGCACCTTCTGTACTACTTCATACATCTAGTAGTATTTACTGAGCCTTTGTGTCTATGTAGCACATGTTACAGTTTTCTTTATAATTCATCTTAAAACATAACACAATTCTTAGCATGAAAATATGATTCCAGATGTTTGTCAGTTATAAATGTTTCCATTTAACTTGGTTAAAGTGCCTGCTGCATTAGGAAGATGGTGGCTGTGGATGAAGGATATCCACAAAGCCTAGCTCTTAGGACAATCTTCGTATTAAAGATAAAGAAGTACGGTGGTACCTCGGGTCATGAATGCCTTGGTTCACGACTAAATTGGGTGGCGAACAAAAATTTCATGAAAATTTTGACGTGGGGAGATGGCCATGATTGCAGGTGCATTCATGCAGGGAAGACGTGCATGATCAGGGGCTTGATCCTGCAGGAAAGATGGGCGCAGTCTCATTCATCTCCCATTCCCCCAACCAGCATGATTGCGGCCATCTCCCCCCCCCCCGAGTGGGGAGATGGCCGCGATCGTGCTGGAGGCAGGAGGGGGAGATACCCAAGATCGTGCCCATCTCTCTCCCAGCGCACCCCATTCGCACCCGTCTCCCCCCCCCCAGCGATCTGGGATGACTGGCGCGATCTCAGTTGTGCTGTGGGAGTGGGGAGATGGCTACGCTTGTGCTCGGGGTGGGGAGGGGGCGATGGCCACAATCTTTGTTGTTCTTTGTCACTTCGCTTCACATTTTTCTGATTTAAAAAGAAATGGTTACAGAACGGTTTAACCTTATTTATGTTGAACCTTATGGGGAATTTAACTAGGCTCATGACCAAGTTGGGTCACGACCAGAGCCCTGGAATGGATTAAGTTCATGAGCCAAGATACCACTGTACTATCTCACATTTTCACCCTCCACTCATCACTTTTGAACTTATACAGATGTAGAACTTATATAGAGTTCTGCATGTAAATATTTCTACAATAGCTTGCTATTTAATATTTAACTATACTTAAGTATTATTTTCTGAAAATGTCCCAAAGCTCTACATTTAATAAGATTATTTGTATATACTTTTGCTGGGGTGTAGCAACTGCCTGGATAGAATATGTTCTTAAATTTGAAGTCACACACAAAAATGATTTTAACTGCAAATTAATTCTGCTTTGCAAGTGGGTCTCTTCTCCCTCCAGATCTTGAATGAAGATGATCTCAAAGCAGTGAGAGAACACTGCTACAGTGTCCTACAGTGAGAGAATGTCCATTACCCTCTTGTGAGCTTTAGCTGGATAGGGATTTTAATTGACTCTCCCATGCATATGGCCAGTTTTCTGATAAGTGGCTAATAATTTGCCAGTTGCAGCACCGTTTTGGAATTTGAAAGACCAGAAGCAAAATCTAGGTAATAGATCAGAAATCAGTGTTTGTACCACAGGTATCTAGAGGCTATTAAATATGCAAATCGCATAAATTCTGTTTTGGGTAGACCCAGCAGTCTGCTTCATCCATATCCAGCAGGAACCTATATGGAACTTAGCCCTTATGAAGCAGAAAAGCTACTGATAATTATATAGATATTCAAGTCCCTCAGGCATAAGGGAGTCAGATGTATAGTCTTCATAAGCAGAACTCTGTTCATAAGAAGCTCTGGCTATAGGGAGCCACATGGGACAACCGTTACCTTGAGCGAAGTTCTCCTTTAAATGGAGCAAAACATAGAGTCCATGGCAGTACACCTTTTTTCAATACTCATTTCAATACATACACATTGTATTGAAATAATTTCAGTAATACATTTTTGTTAAATAACAATTTGCTTATTTCCTAAATCTCACTGTTCTTGCCTAAGAAGTTCAGCTTGTTTCTATTATAGTGAATGGATTGACCATTCAGGCTTACAAATATAAGCTAAGTTATATGGTTATCGGAGCACATCCCCCCCCCCCCCCGCCACTGACTTACACAAGTCATTTAGGCTACAATCCTGGACACTGTCCTGCTGAATTTATTTATGAATAAACATGAATAAGGCCAAGTAGCATGTTAGAATGAAAACTTGCCTTGTCAGTGCATTATTTGTTGATCCATATTCTGGATCAGAAGAGAATTACTGCAAGTAAGAATTTTATTTATTTATTTATTTATTAAAACATTTTTATGCCGCCCCATTCGCCGAAGCCTCGGGGCGGCTCACAACAATAAATTAAACAATTATAATCATAAATTAAAAATGCAAACATTAGAATAAAATACAAACATACAATATAATATAAAATAAGCCACCCTGACCATGTACTCAGGGTAGACTGAGATAGTCTAACTTAGGCTCAAAATGATGTTTTATTCTATGATTTTTTTTGTGCAAAGCTTTGGGAGGCAGTGGGTAGGGAGGAAAGAATTGTTTGAGGCTTCCTTTAGGCCAAGACTGCTTTTGGATCATATGCATTCAACACCTGGAAGGAGGAAAGTCCTGCTTGCCAAGTAGAGCCAATTTGCCGTTTAAATTGTTTTCATGTGCAACTTCAATTATAAAAAAGCAACTGGTTGGATAGCAGTGTAACCCCCACTAAAAGGTTATATAAATAAAATTCAGGCCAGATGTAGTGATTTGCCAATTTAGTACTGTAAAATTAACTAAATCGTTATGTGATTTTAACTCCATAGTGGTTTTTAATTGTTCTATTAATAGTTTTCAGTATTGGTGCAAAGAACATTTTTTTCCTCTATTAACAAGCATGAAGTGTTTTAGAAACTTACTCTGTTTTTATTTTGTATAATGCTGAGAAACGTAATGCAGTTTTTCGATTTTTGTTAAACCATTATTTAAATGCAATGTTTAAACAGTGTGTAAGATGATGTAAAAGCTTAGAAATTCAAACAATATAACACTTTGTCATGTCTTTTTTTTTGTAACTCTGAATTGTATGATTGGTTGGTGTATAAATGCAGTATGATGGCTTGTTCAAGGAAGAAATAATTGCACACAGCTTTATGCTTTATCATGGCATCCTGTTGCATTCTTGGAAGATAAGTAACTGGATTGTTACCTTAGTTTCAAATGGATGGCCCAGACTGGTTTGTTATAGCAGCAAGTGTGATCATTCAGTTGCAATTGAAGGGAGTTCTAACATATTAGGAACAACTGTTCTTGGATGAATGTGGTTGCACCTCTCTTGAGAATGAAATAAGGACCTTCAAAATGTACTTGAGGTGGTCCATTTAGTATAATTACTGCTTGCTAAATTATTTCACAGTGACAAACAGTATGATAATGAGCTGAAAGTTTCAGTCAAAGGACCAAGCAGTCTAACATTGGCAGGGAAGAAGACATTTTTACTTTAATTTTTACAGTTAAACAGAGAAGCTAGTAATAAATAGGAAAAATTGCCTGTATGCAATGATAAAACTCTTCACTGTGCCTGTCCTATATTCTTCTTTCCAACCCATGCCATATTTCTTTTAAATGTAGATGTATGATAAAAAGTTCCTCCTTAAAAAACAAGTGTATACTACCTGGGCTACTTAAAAAAGGCTTAGATTCTTTTTTAAGAATCAACTGGCAGTTTAAACTTAACCCAGTTGGTCCATTTTCAATTGTTAGCGGTGTATGTAAAATAATACAGATATCAAGAAAACACAATTATTAACGCAATTGTATATCTGCCTCTTTAAAAGCATGTTCAGTGAGCTTTAATTTCTCCATAGTCTAATTTAAGCAGCCTGCAACCAACAAGTAACCTGTAGACCTCACTTGGTTTTTTTGAGTCATGAGTTTTCTTCCAGAAATGCTAATTCCTGCGTTGGTTCTTTACTGCACTTTCCCTGCAAAGGTTCATGAAAGGTGCAGACCTTTGACTGCTAGATGCTACCTAGCCAGTCTTTGGAAAAATCAGAAACCATGTGCAGTCTTGGAAAAGTGAAGTTGGAGTTGGGGTTCTGAATTCAGCTTGTCCTCCATCCACCATCATGTCATTGAACTGGAATTGGAATGGTCTTTCAAGTGGAGGAGAGAAGAGCAATGAAGCTCTTCCATGATGCAAAGGAATCCTAGTGGTGCCTGAGTCCTTCTTTGTGATGCTCATTATTGTCTGAAATTAGAATGTGGCCACACTGGATGGCACCTAAATAATTGAACTTAAAGCTGTTAAACACTTCCAATTGATAGGAATGGTGTATATAGTGGTGTCTAGCAATCCCCTAGCATAGGATTATTACCTGCCTCCCAAGTTGGGAATACTTGAGGAACATCTGAAGACTTGTGCATGATCAGTTAGGTGCCCTAGGCCCAGGAAGTCACAGGGAAATGTGTGGACAAAGGGAGTTAGAAACAAAAAAAATAGTCAAAATATTTTGGGGGACCCTATTTTCTGGGCTCAGCACAATGTCCTTTATGAAATGGCACATAATCACATCTGGTCAATGTGTTTTAAGTTGAGAAGACACAGCAAGTATTTGGGGATGGTACAAAGCACATGAGTTCACACTTCTATTTTCTTATATTCACATTGCTCTTAGCATGGTAATGGGATGACCCCCTCCTCCAAGATGGACAAGCTGCTGCTGTTAATGCATTATTTCCCATGCTAGTCTGATCTCAAAAGCAAATGTTTTTACTTTTGAAGATAAGTCTTTTTACTTGAACCTGTTATGGTAGATTTGTCTGGCTCCATCACTGTTTACCTTCTGCTTTATAATAAAGACAGTGCTTTAGGGCTGTGAAATTTGATCATTAGTTTTGAACTTTGTAACTGCTGATAGTTTTTAAATGGCTTGTTTATAGACACACTATTTATTAACTTTCAGTAAACAGCATAATTATTCCATGTTATTTACAGTGTTTAGGATGATGCAGTTATTTGCCTTAACATTCAGGTAGAAATAAAATCTTAAAATTGGTCACCCTTGGCTGTCCTTCATTCTATTTATGTTTTGAGGTCTAGAAGAACAGAATGAATTCTGAAATTCACAGAACGAACATGTTTGTTACAGATGGTAGGCACAAGTCACTTTTGTGCCTGGATTTTCCAGTACTCTGAAAAGACATCAAATGTGAGTTTTAAGTGAGAGTGAGCTCAGTGTGTTCTATTCTTAGCAACTCTACTTTGCCAGCAATAGTTGGTTTTCCACTCTATTTATTCAAAACAGAGCTACAGATAATTGCATTACTAAATGTTCACATTATCCTGTTTCCCTCTGTTTAGGATTTTAGTCCGTTCCTTGATGAAAATGGCAGCCAACAATGCAGTTTTGAGCAGATTGGAACAGAAAGGTGCAGAAGCAGATCAAGTTATTGAATACCTGAAGCAGCAAGTTGCCCTTCTCAAGGAAAAAGCTTGTAAGGCACTATCTTTAGCCGTTTTGTTAAATATCCATGGAAAATCAGTGAAATAGAACTTCCAATTGTATAACTTCCGATTTTGAACCAAGCCCTCTGTAATACCTGTTTTAGGTTATACAAATAGTTAGCTCCAAAAGTACATTGTTTCACACATTGTGAAAACCATGAGATGGTTGCTTCCAGAAGCTATGCAAAGATGTTACTTTGCAGTAAGCATGGTGAAGAATATGCCTTACATACTGCCTTAAAAAAAATACATTTTCGCCCTGAATTGATGAGCAGATAATCAGTTTCAAAAATATAAAATAACAAACTCTTCATCATATTCTGCATAGCCCTAAGCTGCTAGCACAAGCATGCACCTCATTACAGTTCACAGTGAAATGCTTTGTCATTTGTCTTTCACTCCTGCTTTCCTGATATAGTTAGAAATAAGTTTTAAAGAATAAGCCATTAAAGAATAAGCCATTTGGCTGTGCATTCCAATGTAATAGGCATATAATGCAGTTTCAAGTTTTATTCCCTCAGGAAACTTAGAGCAACAGTTCACTTGTTAGAACAGGTGCCAAGTAACAGAGATGCAGGTTAGGGAGTAAATTAGATTAAGAAATTTATTTCTGTGTATTCTGTGGAATTAATCCCAAAGTAGTTCACAGGAGATACTACTACAGTGTTTGTTGACCGTATTGTAGTTCGGTTAAAATACCTTTCAGTATTTACAAAAACTGAGGTGCATAGTGGTAATATAGGTGTTTTGTGGAAGAGAAGAAGATAGGGGCCTGAAGGTTTGAATTCTATTTCAGAACCTTATTGGAAATAACATTTTTCATTTCAGCTTTTGAGACTGCATGTATTGTCATGACTGATCCTCTCATTTATTCATTTTTTGAGATTACATGTATTATCATGACTGATCCTCTGATTTATTTATTTTTTAAACTGATACTTCCATATTCTTAACATCATTTTAGCATTGCAAGAAACTAGTAATGGATTTGGGTTACATAAGTGATTTTGTGTGGTCCTATAATATTTCTGTTAATTTGACTATTACAACCCTGATTGCTTTTATAGAAAAGGCTCAGGTTTTGTTTTCTATTGTATTATTTTAAATACTGTATTTTATACTGTTTGTACTACATTTCAGATTTTAATGGTTTGCACGGTGTTATGATCTTTTATCGTCTGCCCAGTCATTGGGCAGATTCAAACTACAATAAAGTGTAAATAAATACTTAAATAAGTCCAAATGCATAAAGAACAACTAACCTGAAAGAGCTGTTACTTCCCTATGTTATGAAGTTTCAGGTACACATGATTCTTACAGCAATCTGATACCTACTCTACAACTCAAACTTGTTTGAAAAGGAAAAATTTAGCTTGCTATTTAATGGCATTTTGAGTTCTCTAGTTCCTAATGAACATCCTGTTTTTGGTAGTCTTGCAGGCATCACTGAGGGAGGAAAAGAAACTTCGTGTAGAAAATGCTAAACTGAAGAAAGAAATTGAGATTCTAAAACAGAAATTGATCCAGGCAGAAATCCGGAATGGAGGTAAATGAATTTGTGCTGAGAAGCAAATTTTGCTATATGCAAATACATATTTAAAACCAATTTTTAATTAGTGTGATTTAAAATTTTGGTTTTAAAATGTGAGAGAAGAATATAGGAGGAGAAAAAAATGAATAAACATTTTATTTGTATCTTTGCATGCAAAGTAGTTATAACTTGTATATCTTATAAGTAATATTTTTGTCATAATTCTGAACTAGTTTGGAATGCCTGATGTTCTTTTTCTTTGTGGGGGTGGAGATAGAAAGTGTTACCAGTGAAAGTAAGAAATGTATAAGCCATTACCTAACCTACCTAAAGTCTTACTGAAAGCTGTTGGATTTACAATAACTGTATTTCAGCAGGACTTAGTCACAAACAGCCTTAGCTGGATTAAGAGATTAATACATTGATCTACATTCTTCTTTTGAATTTTTTTTCACCTTTCTAGATGGTATTGTAAAGTAGACTATACTTTTACAAGCCTTTGGATGTCATTAAGTCTGCAAAATCCTAAATGTAGCTACTGTCATTGTGTGGAGATTATTTTTATTTCTCTAACTAGGTCTTTGACTATTAGACTATGTGTTCTATCCTATAGTCTTTCCTTACTTTCTGATCACTTTTGCATTTTATTCTGCATTTTATTCTGCATTAATTTGTAAACATGTCCGCATTATACTTCAAAATTCTACACAGAGGATAGTTTCTTTGGGCTTTCGGCTCTCCTAGTCGCAGGAAGAGGGGAGAGAGGAGCTGTGTAGCCCTGTTTCTCTGTCACATCACATTGGTAGAGGAAGCCTCAAGTAGGAACTTTTTCTCTGCACGATTTGAGCCTTGATTGTTAGGCAGAGTGCTGAATCAGTTGGAGAGCCTACATGCATAGAGCAAGCTTCTTTCTTCAGGTGTTCTCTTGCCAACATGAAAAAGGGGCAGTGTGGTTGGAATTGTGTGCCAAAGAATGGCAAGAGATGGTCAAAGGAGATGTGTAAGCCATCTGGCCTGAAACTAAGTGAGTTGATGTCTAGTCAGTGCTTGAATGGAAGGCCACCTAGAAAAATCATGTACACTGTCTTGACTTTTATGACAAAAGAAAGGTATTTTGAAAAGCACATATAAGCAACCTATATTTTCAGTTGTAAACTTAATGTTTGCATCCTCATGCAAAGGAACTTTGGCCTGGTCTATGCATACCAATGAGGAGATAGAAATATATTAAAGTGCACATGTCACATTAAAGAGAATATGGTATTTACTGTGTTTGAATGTCACTGCAAAAAGGATAAAGCAAACAAAACCTTTCATAAGTACCAGTTTTAGTAGATATATACAGTCCTCATGTTCAATGTTAAGCAAGTAGCAGTTTTCTAAACCAGTAAATCAGTATCTGAATCAGACCTTTTTATTCACCCAGTATTTTAATGTTTGAAAGATTTTAATTATGCTTTAGTTCAGTCATGGGTTGTTAGTCTTATTATTGTTTGGGGTGTTTATGATCTTTTATATTGTTGTGTTTATTGAATTTTGTTTGTAAGCAGTCCAGAGACGCATAGTGATTAGACGGGTTAGAAATATCTCAAATAAATAAATTCAACCTGTTTATGTTGATTTCTATATATTTTGAATGTATTTCAATTATGCTGTTATCACACTAATTAAAATATTACATCTAGCTCATTCCAAGGAAAGATACTTGGGGAAAAAATCTCTGTCATAATTGTTTATTAATTCTCATCATGTGTACAATAAAGCCCAGAAGTACACATTTATGTAAGTCAGCCCCAACCTGGATCCAATGTCAATAGATTTTCATTTAATAATATTTTTTTATTCTAGCGTACATTTACACAAAATACTTCTAAGTAGCAGAACTAAGTTTTTTTGATTGATTGGATATTAGCAGCAGTTCATATTTGATTAACTTAAATGTGAATATTTCTGCATTGGTAGGGTTTTGTTTAGGGATTTTTAAAATAATGAATTTTATTTCTTGCTTAAATTTAGTGAAACAAATCTCTGTACCACTCAGTGAAACACCTTCTACAGCGACATTTTCAGAAGGTTTCTCTCAGCCAGTCGCTGTTGACGTAGCTTCATCTGAACTCAAGGAACAACCTAAAGGAGCAAGTGAAGAAAAGAAGAAAAAGGACAAAGCAGAAAAGAAAGGTAATTCTAGAGAAACTGCTCAGAAATGTTTAGTGTAAAATTTCATTGATATATACTGAAAAGAATTTGATAAAGGAAAGGAAATATGAGTTACTTCTTTTCAGTACAGAAGCATTCCATGAAAAATATTCAAGATTCTCATAAGTTATATAGGAAAAATTCATGCACATGTGTGTAAAATATTTTTAAGTAGTGTGTAGAACTAGTCTAGAGTTGTTAGTTTCTATATGATTTTTTATTTTTATTAAAAATGTACAACCATAAAATCTGACTTAAAATTTAAAAGTCTGGCAGAACAGTTGCTAATGACATTCTGTGCTTTAGTCTCAACATGCTTATTCAAACACAGTTCTGAATCCCATCCTTGAGTACTACTTCAAATGGCTCTATTATGTGAGCTAAAAGAAGTCTTAGCAAATGAAAGGTATATAAAGAGAACTCACAGACTGGACACTGGTGTAGCCAGAGTGATAGAAGGTTGTTTGTCTCGGACCATTATTTTCTAAAAGGAAAAAAATCAGTGTTCTAAGTGGGAAGGTGTACTATAGTTGCGTTAATGTTTCCATAGTCCATGAATGGTCACAGATGGGATATGGTTGCAACTCTTAGTCAGTGAGGGATCAAACAGGTGGAAAGGCTGGCCAGCTTTCATCAAATAATTGCAAAATAGCTATAGGTATTTTTCATATAGAAATGAAATACTCCTAAATGCAGGTAACTAGGGTAATCCTATTCATTTGGAGTGATTCAGAATATTTCTGTCAGAAGAAAAAGAAGAACAGCTTTGCCCCTCTCCTATTAATTAACACTGGAGGAAAGCAAGGTCAGCCCATAGTCTGGTCTAATTTTTTTTCCATGTTGGCAGTGTAACAAAGGGCTGGAGACTGGATACTCTGTGTCCAGAATCAGCCCTTCTTTGATCCCAGTGATTTTTCCTAGTATGAAGAAACCATTTCCTTATGTTGCTTCCAATCAAAACTTCATTATTAGAGGGACTAAATCTGTGATTTTTATCTTGTCAGCAATGTGTAAGAAAAAAATGTTGAAGAAAAGGGGACTATATTTTTATTAATTTGCTTACACTGTATTCTAAGGCATATGCACGTAATTAAGTGGATTCTCTTTTTTTCAATTTAACTAGGAGAAAAGAAGGAGAAAAAGCAGTCAGCTGCAAATGATGACTTAAAACCTTTAGATGTTTCTCGGCTTGATTTTCGTATTGGTTGTATCATGGCAGCAAAGAAACACCCAGATGCTGATACTTTGTATGTCGAAGAAGTTGATGTTGGTGAAGCAAATCCTAGAACTGTTGTCAGTGGTCTAGTGAAACACATTCCTTTAGAAGAGGTACAGATGGGATTTCTTTGGTATATTATCTGCTAAACAGGGTGCATTTTCCCATTTGATTAGATTTTTCTCATGGTTAAGTATTTATTTATTTATTATTTATAGTACATAGATACATGCAAAAGCAATCTTGGAATGCAGAATTTGTTACCAGACAAGCAGATTAAACATAAATATCAAACCAGATCTAGCTTTTGTGTACACAGTCAGTTCCAAGAACATTCCTGGTCTCCTTCCTATATGCAACACACTGTAATGGCCAGGATATGTACTGCAGTGCCAATCTCTTATTCTGCATCTTCTGCTCATTTATTGGTGCAGCTGGTTCTCCTGTTTGCAGCATATTAGATGATACAGTAGTTGGGGCAGAGTTGAATATTTCTTATTAACCGAGCAATAATCCCATCATCCCATCAATAAAGCAGTTAATCTGTCCCCTTTAACTTTCATACTTGTGCAAGCAAAGCCATGTTTACCAGTTACAAACGGAAGTGTTTTAAGAGGATGCTAGGTCCTTTGTTGCTCACACTGTATTCTTCTAGAGTTACTCTGAATGCACATGGTATAACATTCTGAGTAAGTCTGCATGGATATATAACTTCAGATTATTTTGACTAATATCTGTTGCTCAGAACAGGATATTTATAAATAAGTTGTTCCTGCTTCCCAATTTGGCTTATTGTTGATACATATTTTCCCAATATGTCTATCATATTTTGGCTGGTATATCATGAAGAATATTTATCACATTATCACTTTGATGCAAACAAAATGAAATGCTGGTTTCTTACAATATGAGTCAATAAAGCAGGGTATTTTACTAGGTTACTCAAAGCTTTACTCCCTTCTAAATTTTCATTGGCTGGGATTCTAGATATTTATTACTTTTATATACTCCCTCTTTAATAAACTGCAGGCAGCATAAACAACCACTTTTCTTTCTGATTTTATCTTCACAGCAACCCTGTGAGGTAGATCCAGCTGGGAGAGTTTGACTGGTCCAAGGTTAGCCACTGAATTTCAAGAATGACTGGGGATTTGAAATTATTTTATTCCAGTCTTAGACTAATCCCTATATCACAGTGGCTCAAATAACTTTTGAATAGGTACTCTGCGCATGGCCAAAGGCTTGGGATGTGCTTAGGAGAATTTTTTACTTTTGCTCCCTTAAACTGGCAGGCCCCTTCTTTTCTTCCTTCCCTCTTTCATAATTGGCTTTTTTCCCAAAGAGGTTTACCATGAGAAGGGCTGCTCTTCTGTAAGACCAAGCAAAAAACTGCCCTAAACATATATAATCAGCCCTACTTCTTTTTGGTCGCACACTTTTTTTCTTTGTATGAGACCCATATGAGGTCCTGCTGTTATTTCTCCTAGGAAACAAAACAAAAAAAAAAGATACATTTAGTGTAGCTAGCTCTGTGCTTGTGTGTGTTTTGGCAATTCTAATAATTGCACAAAAACACGCAATGCCTTTTGTTGTTGGCTTCATTTGTTATCCTAATAGGGTTTAAAGCATTCTGTGTATTGCTTTTTGCCTCTTATATAAAGTATAGCGGAACCTTCACAATCCAGACAGCTTGGATGACACCCACGCTATCTGGAAATGCATTGAGAAAAAATTCCTTCCTTTCTGAACATATTGCAATATGTCAGATCCAGAGTGTTAAGTAAAACTTGTCCAAAATATAATCTAGAGAAGAGGAAGGAGGAAGTTTTGCTCAGTTTTCTGTCTCTTGTATTTGTGCTGGAAGCAAGAAATATCTCTTCATTGTCTCAGTTCCTCACAGATGGAGCTTCATTAAATGTATCTTACAATTCCTTGAAATCAATAAATTTACAAAAGCTGTTGTGTAACTTTTCATGCATTTAACTAGGCTACAGCTTCCAACCTTTCTTTGAGTTTTACAAGGCAAAGGTATTAATCAAATGCAATTTCTCAAAGATTTGTGCACAAATATCTTTAGTAGGGAAACAGTAGTGTGGGTTGCGATGCTCATTAAATTTTAAAGCATCCTTAAGAATTTGGTTTTCTTAGAAGTTTCATTTTTGGATTTATATTTGTCCAGTATAGTTCATTTTCCTGGACAAAACTGCTGATTTCCATGTTCCTTAATGGTATCTTACTGCTGTCTTTATTTGTAGTATTCTTTAAACAGAAGCATCTATACTTTAAAATGAATGGGTTGCGCTAGACATCATGTACAACCACTTTAATTTGCTCCCAAACATTCAACTTTTGGGATCTGTAAGTGTACATACCATAATTACATCCTGAATGGTAAGCCACCTGGGCATCTTTGTTATACTTTCCCTGATTAGTTTAGAAAGATGTTTTTAGCAAAATCCCTAATGTAACTGTTAAAAGTTGAAACCCAGAGCCTCAAAGAATGGAAAGCCAGTAAAACATTATTTCGGCCATTATCCCAGCACATCAGAACAGAATGTTAATGTCTTCATTGCACCCTGTTACGTCTGTTATATTAGAAGACAGTTATCCTTAATTGGCCATTTCCTGGCTTTTACTGCTAAATTAGGTTAGAAAGAATGTTTATTGTCGTTAACATATTGGTATCTGCATAGTTGTATGTTTTACTCTGTGTGTTGGATGCATTAACTTTTTTCCCTTTTGCATTGTGAAGGAAACTTGGACTGACATTCCACCTCTTTTTTAAACTTCTGTGCCTGTGTACAGATGCAGAACCGGATGGCGATATTTCTCTGTAACCTGAAGCCAGTAAAAATGAGAGGAGTGTTGTCCCAGGCCATGTTGATGTGTGCTAGCACACCAGAGAAGGTGGAAATTCTAATCCCACCTAGTGGGGTTGTTCCTGGAGAGAGAATCACATTTGAAGGCTTTTCTGGTAAGCATAAATATTGCAGAGGTGGGAATAGGATGAAATGTGTTGCATTCAGTTAGAATTAGAAAGTGGGCTAAATGTCCAGAAGTGATGGAGGGGTAGCATTCAAGGCATGTTCCTTTTTTGGGGTGGGGAGGCATTTTTTTTCTTTTTAACAAACAACCTGCCATTGTTGTCAGCCGACAGCAGCTTCAGAGTCTATATAGTTGGGGAAATGCTGGCTTGGGGAAATGTATGAGGACAGTAACAGGATCTTGTAGATCCCTGGAATACCCTCAAAGCCTTCGTCCTTTCCCCTCTCTGACATTGGAGTTCTGAGGCTACTAAAGCAGCAACCACAGAGTCTGCATAGCAGCCAAAAAAGGCAGTTCATCGGTTGGGTCTTCCCTAACCAAGGTGAACTTCTCAGCTTTTGTAGTTTCAGATGCAATGTAACCTGTGGCCTCTTGGAGGGTTCCACAGCACACGATTGCACTTCTCCTCCTCTGGTCCAACAAAGTTGCAAGGGCTATAAGTCACTAATTAACAACTCTGCTGAATTATACATAACTTCAAAGCATGGACTGTCCATTAAGTATCAGAATTAAATAATGATAGATAATACCAAATTATATCACTGGTTTGAAAATAAAAACGTCTGGGAGAAATAAAACTGCAGTTGAGAACTTTCTTTTCCCCAGTGTGTATTATGCCTCAACTTAAGCCAGACAAATGCTTTTGTTCCTCCAAGTTAAGTTCTACAGTGACTCTTTTTGATTTGCATACATTGTATTAGATTTATTTGTGGATCTAACATGATTATGATTCATCGTGTTGTAGTTCTTCAGTTCCTCATTTTCTTTGTTCATGCTGTTTAATATTTATCTCATATAATATTTAATATTTATCTTCTTTGTTCATGCTGTTTATCTCATAAAATTTTCGTGTCCCTACCTGTTAACCACATCTAATGAAAGAATTGTTGTTTTGCATTTTGCTTCCTTATTCAAGTTCCCAGAATAATAGGTCTTTTTACAGGAAAGAAATTACTTCTGTCCTCATGTGGTTATGTTATCTTTTGGTCCAGACAATCTGAGCATCATTCTATGGTTTTCTTTTATTTCCCAATGATGGGGCATTGTTCCATAAATATGTTCTTATTTAGGTTTTAATAGCAATGTGGATGTACATCTACTTTGATGCATGCCAAAGTAGTATAAACCATAGTATTACCTCATACATAACCCTAGGGAACAATACTGCTTGGAGCTATGAGAAGTAGGCTGATTTGTTACTTAATTAATTTATTATTCAGGTTCTTCTCCCACAGTTGACTAAATGCTCATAACAAATTCTTTTAAACCTTGTTTATTCATTACCTGATAGGTCATTTTATTAGTAAAGCAAATTTTGAAAGCTTTCAATTATTGTCGCATTTTCAAAAAAGTTTTAGTTAAAAAATCAGCAGCTCCCACAATTTGTTCTGTGTGTTTGTGTGTGAGAGAGTGTCTTTAGTTTAGTTTAGTTTTCTTTTAATATGCTTTGCATATTAAACCCACCCCTTAGGAAAGACACTGAAAACTTGCTGGTTGATGAGTTTCTTTTTTTTTCTTCTTTGAGATGATTATGGTCCTGTTGAAATTGGATATGTTTATATTGTGGTTTTTAGTGCAATGGAGTTTACTTTTATTAGATTTTATCATTGTGTTTTACTCATTTTTGTAAGCTGCCTCAAACAGATAAGTGGACTTTAAGAAAGGAAGTTGCATATGTCCATATGTAAAATATGGGAGAGAGGTAGACTTCTCTCTTCTGCACTGATTACTGTGCTACATGCATGATTCAAAGGTTGCATTAAGCGGTATCGTCAGAGAGCAGGCTTTGTGAACTCTACCACTGGTTCCTTTCGGGTGGGATCCCAGAGATAACTCTGGAGTTTAACTCATTCAAGATGGAGGATTTATAGCCTATTTTAAACAAGTTTGGTCTTCTGAGGCTATATATCTTAGCTGGAGACAGTGCTCCCTAAACTCTGCTCACAAATCTAGTAGCTGTGAAATAAATGCATTAACATTTGTCTCTGAGAATACACTTAATGGTGCAAAAAGCTCATTCTGGCTTCACAAATACATTGTATTTTGGTTTAGTTTTTCTGATACTGTGTACGTGTCAGTGAAAGTGTTGTAGAAGGACAGATAAAATCTCCAGAAATATTTTATGGGGAAAAACTGAGAATTTGGATGAATGATGTAGAATTGGGAAGGCAAACTTGTTTTTATTGAATCAAATAGTTTAAAAATAGCATCCAGCTCAATTTATTTAGTGGACATGTATCTCCTTTTGAACTAAAGTCCTCAAAGCACCTCATAATATTAATGAAATGCAAGGAGAACTTCAAAAGCTAGACAATTCAAATAAAGCAAAATCAGCCTAGCAAGAACAGGTGCTTTAAGTTGTCTTTGCCTCCCTCCCTCTCCTCGTTATTCCCACAGGGAAATTGGTTCTGGATATCTGTGAGTGAGAGGTGAGGGGGGTAAACCCAGCAGAAGCAATGTTGTTATCAGAAACAAGGAGATGCAAGATAGGACTATTGTGATATTATTTATTAAACTCTACAATGGATTGTATGTCCTTCTTACCTGTTAGTGAATTTTGTTGTTAGTTGCAAAGTCGTGTCCGACCCATTGCAACCCCATGGACAACAGTCCTCCATTCCTCGGAGTGCACTTAAGTTCATGCCTACTGCTTCAGTGACTCCATCTAGCCACCTCATTCTCTGCCGTCCCCTTCTTCTTTTGCCATCTATTGTTCCCAGCATTAGGCTCTTCTCCAGGGAGTCCTTCTTTCTCATTAGGTGGCCAAAGTATTTGAGTTTCATCTTCAGGATCTGGCCTTCTAAAGAGCAGTCAGGGCTGATCTTCTCTAGGACTGACCGGTTTGATCGCCTTACAGTCCAAGGGACTCTCAGGAGTCTTCTCCAGCACCACAATTCAAAGGCCTCAGTTTTTGGCGCTCAGCCTTCCTTATGGTCCAGCTTTCCCAGCCAAACATTGCAACTGGGAAAACCATAGCCTTGACTATACACACTTTTGTTGGCAGGGTGATGTCTCTGCTTTTTAGTATGCTGTCTAGATTTGCCATAGCTTTCCTCCCCAGGAGCAAGCATCTTTTAATTTCTTGGCTGCAGTCCCCGTCTGTGGTGGTCTTGGAGCCCAGGAAAATAAAATCTGTCACTACCTCTATTTCTACCACATCTATTTGCCAGGAAGTGAGAGGACCAGATGCCATGATCTTAGTTTTCTTGATGTTCAGTTTCTAGCCAACTTTTGTACTCTCCTCCTTCACCCGCATCAAGAGACTCTTTAGTTCCTCTTCGCTTTCTGCCATGGGAGTGGTATCATCTGCATATCTGAGGTTGTTGATATTTCTCCCAGCAATCTTAATTCCAACTGGTGATTCATTCAGCCCTGCCTTTCTCATGATGTGCTCTGCATATGGTTAAATAGGCAAGGTGACAGTATACAGCCTTGCCGAATTTTCTCAATTTTGAACCAATCAGTGGTTCCATGTCCAGTTCTCACTGTTGCTTCTTCTAGACAATTAAATCATAATAGCCTACTGCATCTGAAAAGCGTGGATAGTGACACAGTGCATAATGTAAAATGCTTTCTAAAATCCCAGTGTTCTGGTTTAAGCATTAGCAGCTTGCACTTCTAAATCTTAAACAAGATCTAGTCCCTAGGAAATGCTATACATAACTATAGTCTAGGCACATGTCTAGGCACTTTACCGTTTATTCTGGATGCAGTCATTCTTTGTGATGGATGCATAGTGAGGAAGAGGAACTGGTTTCAACAGAGCTGAAAACCTGGAATGCAGCACAACTGGTCCATGAAGTTCTGCCATGATTTGGTGCAGTGCCAAAAATGGCTGTTGTCTTGCTACTGAATCAAGTCTTAAATCGAATTAATATATAAGGTTTAAATCTAGTTTTAAATTACTCATGATCAGCTATCTTGCTGTTTATTATCCACTTTTTTATCATATGGAAGAGAATCATTCTATCCTAAGGCAGTTGTTAAACTTGTATAACCTAATTTTGACTAAGCTGCTTTAAAGTCCCCAATCCTTTGTACTGTCATGCCTAGTGGGCTTCTAAGCTGTGGTATTGCTTTTGCAAGTACAGAGCTACCACTTCCCTCTGTATGAACTTGTTTACCCAGTAAGTTGACTGGAGGGCAGGCTGCTCTCTGTTCTTCTCTGTCTTAAGGTCACTTCAGATTCAAGACCCACATCCCTGTTCCTTCACTTCTCTCTCAGCATTACAGCGTTTGATGAACATGGCCTGTTTAGGTGGATCTTTAGTTGGGATTGATCTATTGCACCTTTGTATACTTATCTGTAAGGGATGCAGGTGGCACAGTGGTTTAAACCACTGTGCTGCTGGGCTGGTTGATTGAAAGGTCACCGGTTCAAATCTGCACAACGGGGTGAGTCCCCGTTGCTCTGTCCCAGCTCCTGCCAACCTTGCTGTTTGAAAGCATGCAAATGCAAGTAGATAAAAAGGTACCACTTCGGTGGGCAGGTAACAGCGTTCCGTGCACCTCGGTGTTTAGTCATGCCGACCAAATGACCACAGAGACTGTCTGCAGACAAACGCTGGCTCCCTCGGCCAGGAAATGGAGATGAGCACCGCCCCCTAGAGTCATGCATGACTGGACTTCACATCAAGGGGAAACCTTTACCTTTTTATACTTATCTGTATTTGGCAGGAGCAATTAGTGATGGCTTAGTTGATGAGGGGAATTGTGCTGTTCCTTTTTATGAATTCTTTTTAAAATTTGGAATGTTATGGAACATAAAAAAAAATTAAAAATAAGTAGCCTTTAATGTGAACTATTCTGTATATGCTAGTTCTCATTTGGTAGAATGCTTGCACTGGTGCATAAGCCAACAATTTCCAGTAGGTTATTTGGGGACTTGTTTTCCCCTTCAACAAGCTGTGGCACCTGGGCTTGGGCAGCACAATAGGCTGTACCTAAGCAGGTAATTAGGTAAACAGTGCCCAGAATGTGCTGTAGCTTAAGCAAGCATGATGGCGATTAACATGCAAACTGGGCCATTGTATCCATATTAATTGTGCAGGTTTCTTGCATTGAATAGGAACTGGCAGGAGCAATGCATTGGAACTAGTTTGGAGGCCACTGTTCTGTGTTATGGTCTCTGTGCATCACACATGTGGGCTTTGCTGCATAATGCAAGGCCCAGATTGGAGAGAAACTTCCATAGCAAAACAGTCCTGACCCCCACAGCAACCCCTTTGAGTGATGAATGTGTGATGCCTCTTGGAGGCTTAATAAGTTGATCAGCTTTGCCCTCACTACCATCAGTCTCAAATAAATCCTGGTTACATTGGACCTTCTGAAAATGTATACTGTAACTTAAGCCCTTTTAGATTCTTTAGCAGTAATGTTGACAAAGATAGTTTACTCAATGTGTAAATGAAAATTTTAGAGTTAAATAAGGTCCTATTACGGGTATACCTAAATAGCCAGAAATATTTGTTTTAGACTCTTTCCTTTGCAGGAGTGAGTGGTATCTTTGTCCCAAGTAAGTTAAAGAAAACTTAAAAAAAAACATTTTTTCCAGATAACTGTGCCATATACTGGGGAAGATATCCATTGCCTGACTTTGATCCTTTCTCTCAAGGGTACATTGCCTGATCTGCAATGAATTCTAGTATGTTTTCATGGATGGGTTAGTCTGAGCCAGCACTTCAGTTAAATGTATATCTATTTGCTTTTTCTACATATTTAGAAATTAAAACTTCTATCCAAGAGAGTAAGAATGCTGAGTTTTATGCAATTTTATTTATAGATGTCCTTCAGAATGGATGTTTCTCTTAAAAGGAATGAGAAGGGGAGGTTTCTGTGGAGGTTTCTGTGGAACACACAACGTGGTGTTCTGGTAATGTTTAAAAGTGGTGCCTGTGCTAATCTAATACAAGCCCACCACAGATCCCAGGGGAGCTTGCCTGGGTATTCCAAAGCAAGTTTAATAAGATCCAGAAGGTGTTTATATAATAAAAGCCAGATTTTAATTTATTCTTCAAAACTGCATTTGCTTTTATAATGTTTGCATTTTCAAAGGATTGCCTTCACCTTTGTGGTATTACAGTTATAGTTTTGCTTAGATTCTTCTTTATCTATGTGCATGGGAGCATTCAGCTTACTGTAAAAATTGGGGTGCTGTGTAGGCAGTTCATCTTAATTAGCTTCCAAATTGCTTGTTGCTTCTTTAAAAAGTAAGCTGTTGCTCTGTAAAAAGTATTAGTTGTTTATAGTTGATTCACTGAAGCTTCACAGGCCAACCTATCCTACATAGAGGCATGGAAAGTTAATAGTAATTAGCTGTATGGCTGCTGGAGTGGAAAATTGATCTCTAGCCATCTGGTAGCATTGGGTCAACACCAAATGCCAGTAAGTTCCATGAAGATATCGTGTGACCATTTCTAGATCCAGATTCTCTGACTTTAAAAACCAGACGTGCCGTGTATGACTGAGCTTAGTCATAAAAGCAGATCAGAAGAAAATTGCGCAAGTAACAGTATGCTATGGCCAGGTTGAAACTGATGGAATTGTTTTTCTTTTTCTGTTCATTAATGATGGGTGGGCAGGTACAGCAACCATTTTTTCCCAAAGTCTGGAAATCAGTCCATTTTCTTGCCAGCATACCAAAGGAGTATGATGAAAAATACCAACAGCTGTTATCAGCAGCCAATGTTAAGTGTAGATGTTTCTAGCTTCAAATGTAAAAAAAATAACAAAACATTAATACTTGTTTATATTTTAATCTTAGATCCTACTATAGTTAATGTAAGCATTTCACTGTTAATTCAGTATAGATTAAATTAAAGAGACTCCTTTTAAAAGTGTTACTATTAAAAAAAACTTGAACAGGTTTCCAAAGAACTGAACAAGAAGCTCTGTGGTCCCAAGGAAGTTTTGATACTTCTTAAATAGCAGTTTGCCAAGCTACATAATAAATTGTATTTGAAAGTGGAAAAGGAAAAAGTTTGAACAGTTGATGGAAGTGGGTGGAGGGGAGAGAATGAAAAAGGCAAAAAAGCCTAGTTAGCATGCCCAAGCTATAATTTATTGACAAAAGTCAAAATTCAAAGCACGTGGACTATTGGGTTAATGTTTCTTCCTAACAGTGTTGACATTAGCATTAGTTAGTATTAGTTAATGTGGAAGTCTAGCAGCTATATCAGCTATAAAAATCTTTTCCTGCATAATGTGTTCCTATTTCTTTTAAGTCTTGTACTGTGTATTAAGGCATATCTTTCTGTATATTAAAGCAGTCCAGAACTGTTGGACCTCTCAGCAGGTTTCAATACTATTGACCATGATATCTATCTTGATGACCTCACTTGAATAGGAATTTGAGGTCTGTCCTACAGTGGATCCATTCTGTGGAAGGGATGAACCCAGGGGCGTTGTCTGCTGTTCAGCTTCCTGGCCACTGACCTGTGAAGTTCCTCAGAGATCTGTTTTGTCCCTCATGCTCTTTAACATATATAAAACTGTTGGGAGAGGTTGTTCAAAGTTTTGAGGTTAGGTGTCACAACCTAAAAAGATGCTTTCCATCTCATGCCAAGAAAGCTGTTTCAGTGCTAAACCAGTATTTGTTGGCAGTAATGGATTAGAAGAGGGCAAGCAATCTAACTCTTAATCCAGGCACGACAGATGTTCATAGTCAGTCAGAAGGTGGCTCAAGGAATAGGGATTCAATCTGTGCTGAATAGGGTTGCATTCCCCCTGGAGACACAGGTTCACAGCTTGGGTGTACGTCTGGATTCTACCATGAGCCTGCATGCCCAGGTTTTGCTGGTGGCCAGGAGTGCATTTGTACAGTTAAAACTGGTGTGCCAGCTACACCCATTCCTAGTGATTTTGGACTTGTCCACAGTGACACATGCCTTAGCTACATCATGTTTGGATTACTTCAACATGCTTGGAAATGCCACCTCATTCAGAGAGCTGCTGCCCAACTGTTGATTGGAGCTGGCTATAGGGAACACATAACTCCTTTACAGTCTATTTCTGGGTACAATTCAAAGTCTTGTTTATGACCTGTATGGCTTGGATCTAGGGTATCTAAAAGACTGTCTTCTCTCTCATGAGCATATCTGTGCTCTTGGAGAGGCCATTCTCTTAGTTTCACTATCTTGGTGGGAACACAGAATAAGGCCTTCTTGATGGCTGCTCCAGGACTCTGGAATGCCTTCTGTAAAGAGGCTAAATTGGTGCCCCCCACCCCTGGTTGTGTTTTCAGAGGTGGACAAAAGCCTTTCTGCTCTGACAGGCCTTTGGGAATAGCCTGAACTTGTTACACTGTATTGGACTAGTAGTAATTATTTTTTACTATTTTAAACATTGATATTTTATATAATGTTGATACTATATTTAATATTTTCAATTTATGTTCTCATTGTATATGTTTTTAATGTTGCAACCATGCAATATAAATATGATGGTGTTGGCAGCTCACTAGAAGCACCAATAGTAAAAAGGACTATAGATGAGAAATACTGTTACTTCAGTCTGATGAACTTGTTAGAAGGAATTTTACACACCAAAAAAAAGGTATCCCAGGTATCTCCGTTCAGTAAATTGAAAGCTTTTTTCAGCTCATGTTGACTTGAAACTCATTTGTTAGTAAATTAATTATAATATTTCTTTTTATAATAACTTGTTTGGTTTGGTTTGTTGACATACACATCTCTCCGTATGTGTATTCTTTAAAGTGGTAGAGCAGATTAATTGTTTCTTGTGTTTCAAAAATCGCTGTAAATAAAAATAATACCTATATCATTTGGAATTAATCCTTCATTTTCTTTACCTGATACTTCAGTACAGGAACATCATGAGGTTGTTGAAAGAATTCTTGATTTCACAAAGTATGTATTCATAGCAAGTGGATTCATATATGCACTAATTACTGTAAGAATCTTGTACTAAGGGAGTAAAGAACAAAACATTACTGCTGCTCTCATGATCTCTCATATTGTGATGGGAAGCAGAACACTTAGCTCACTTAACTGGTTTTGATAATCTTACCTATGAGCTTTGCATTATACTACTGTTGCGACCCCATAGCAACTCAAAGCAGTCTCACTGAGAACATTATTCTTACAGTTCTCTAGCTCTAGGTTACATGGAAAGGATCATAGTTTGTATCCATGTGTTTTCTATCGCTTTACTATCCAACATTAAAATATGGTGGACAGTTTTGCGTCCCAGATGCTGAGTGCTTCGGAACTCTTACTTTAACTATAGCTAGCTGCTGTTTCCACAAATGAAAGCGTTATTAATGGTAACCAGGGTGTGTCTTCCTATTAGAATTTGAAGCCATGGTTTTCAAATCATGCATGCTGACTGTGGTTTGCACTCATGTCATAATACCTAGCCATGGTCATGGTGAGGTAGTTTGCATCCCTTAAGCCTAGTTTTTAAAAAGGATATTATGCCTATACCAGGCTAGGGTTCTTTATTCTTTGGATATCTGTTTCACTCAAGTCTTCCATGTACGTTTATTACCAGACATAGATCATACTGAAATTACTTTCAAAATTCAAGTCAACATATTTAGTTTTGGTATGATAGAAAACATGTTTGTTCTTACAGTTTATGTCATTTCCATTACGATTGTAATGAAAATACTCTTTCAAATCCCTCCTTACATTCCTCATGTCTATTATTCATAGGTGAACCTGATAAAGAACTTAATCCAAAGAAGAAAATATGGGAGCAGATTCAGCCTGATCTTCATACCAATGACCAGTGTGTTGCCACATATAAAGGAGTACCATTTGAAGTGAAAGGAAAAGGCATATGCAGGGCTACTACCATGGCCAACAGTGGAATCAAGTAAACACTAACAAGTTGTGGAGCAGCTTGAGGTCATTTTGAGTGGAAAAAAAATGTGAACACAATTAAACGAATATTGCCTCACCTAAAAACATAGTTCATTCATTTTTGTTACATCTGTTAGCACAAGTATGGATATTCATGCTTAACAATTTTCAATTTCTTCATTTGCTGTTTCCTTGAATATGATTAAAAACATTGATTAGATGGGGTAGAGGACATTACAGTAATTTGTAGGTAGTCTGAAGAATGTAAATGCAACTCATAACCAATATTCCTGTCCAGCTACTGTATATCAGTGGTCTGTGTTTGAACTGATATAGTGATGAGCTTATTCTGTTCAGAGTTTATATGCAGGTTCTTTGCATGGTCTGTAGTATACATCCTTATGGATTTCATGCTTAAAATGATACTCAACATTTTAATTTCACAAAAACAATGAACATAGACTGAAAAGGCCACAGACCACAATGTTCCACCCAGCAAGTTTGGTGAATAAAAGGATGGGGATATTGCTGAGGATGGAACTAGCAGCTGAGCCCAGTTTCACCTGTCTCATGTCCTTAATTGCACACAAACAAGGCTTATTTAGTACAGTAATAATTCGGTCCTATTCATGTCTTCTCAGACATGACCCATCACAGTTTGATGCCTACAAAATAAATATTTTAATAATTTTAATTTAGCAAGTTTAATTAAATGTTATACATATCTCAGAATAAAATTGGCTCCTACATAACCTACTATACACTATACTGTTTAATGTGATATGTTCTCAGATCTGTCTTAAATGGAAATGTCTGTCTTGTATGATATAATATGTAGCTCAGGACAAAAATACACAAAGATGACAATGACTCACAAAACAGTTTAAACTGATTTTTTATATAATTATGTTCTCTAATATATAAATAAGCAATGTTTTCTCTTGTATTGATTTATGGGAGAATTGAACATAGCAGTTGTGTTTCAAGAGCAGTACCAACATGCGTTTATGAACAAGTGATGGAACACGGCATTCTTACAACTTCATAAACTAATCAGGTGGAAAGTGTCATTTTGCTGTTTCAGCACTGCTATTTTCATATAACTAAGCAAAGTTGGTATGATTGACTTGTTCATTGTAAAGAAGAGGAGAGAGAGACTATGCATTGTAACTTAAAGCTGGGGCAATACAACTAATGTGGCCATATTAGCTCCTCTTTGTTTACTACATTTATGATGAGTTTTTAAAACCAAGATGAGTTTATTTTGACTATATTGGATGCTGAACATATTACATAGAAAGAACTACCACGTATTCTGATAGAATTTACTACAGCCTGCTATTGAAGTCGCTAGTCAAAACCAGAGATGGCTCAGTGCCCTAACTCCTTAAATACAACTTAAACATTTTAGCAGTTCCAAATATACTAGTTTAGGCATAACTAGCACTCTCTTCATTGCAACTTTTTGATGTTATACTGAATACAATAATTTCTCAGCATTAGATGGAATCTCATTAATGTTATATACTACTGCTGCAGACTTGATAATTCAATTTATATTTAACACAAGTTAACAGATCAAATTGACAATATCATCACCCAGGACTGATGTCCCCAGTACAAGTTGTTGAGTGTTTATCCTCCCAACAACAGAGTTGAAAAACACACAGAGAAAAACAGATCCTTAGATGACATAAGAATTGTTTCCTCTTTTCTGTGTCTTTAATTCTTTGCATTTTATCATTGATATCTAAAACTGAAGACACTCGTTTACTATTTATAATGACATACTTTACTGTAGTTGTATCCAGATATTACTTAAAGAATTGTTGAGAGTACAAGTTATTTGTACCATACCTAGAGGTCTACTTGATATTTTCCCATTATAAAAATGTGTCCCTTCCTAAAGAATTTAATATCTAAAAAGACACCCAAAGGAATAACAGAGGAGAAGTAGAGCTTATATCTAAGAAACTGAAAGCAAACCATGCATTAATCCATTTGCCCCGTTGTTTATTTGAATAGAAGGGTTTGGTAACTGTTTTGTCTTACAAACTCCATAATTTTTCTCAAAACCCTTATGTTTTCCTCTTTTCGAATGCTTGCATGATTGTTTACAAAAATGTATTTTTGCTGTACTGACTGCATGACTTCATGTAGTGGATCTGTGGCAGTATGTAAATATTGTTCTGAGCTGAGCCTGGAATTTTCAAGCAGATCTGCATGGGTGAATAAGATTGCCGTATAAGACCCCCAGTTTGGACCCAGGAGTTCCTAAAACAAAAGATAAGGTTACTGCTTTAATTTTTTTTCCCTTATACATCAGTGTTTACAACCAATGAGCAAAACATTGATTTCAGTACACAAAAAACTTTTCAATCCCCTCCTCAGTCCATACCACATGGTTTCAGATGATTGCCAAACCTTACTGGGTGGGTTTTGGGAGCACAGGAGGCTGTAGGAGTGAGATTTCAGGGCAATGGCATTGGTTAAGCAACTTTCTTTTCCAAGTTGAGTCCCCCATTATGTCCACATAAAACCAGGCATTTATGGTGGGTTGTAAAAGAAATACCGGGCTGAGGGGTACTGTATGCACTATGCTGACCCTGCTTGGAAAAGGGCAAGATGTATTTATAACTTTCAAAGGAGAACAGGAAGTGATGACAGGCTACACTGAAATGGCCATCTTGTGGTTCAGTTGAAGATTGCAGTATGTACTACTCAAACACTGCCTTTAGAGCCATAAGCAAAGGTAGACTGTTTAGTCCCTGGACCTCTGCAAGTTAGTTTCACTACTAAAAACATACCAAGTCAAACAGTAATATGGGTTCAATCCAATTGTATTCTTCTAGGGAAATGGGGATCGGATTTCCCTTGGTCCTGTGTTATCAGATCTGCTCCAGAGTTTGGAGGATCTTCTAAACAGATTTGAGGAGGGCAAGGAGAGAAAGGGGAATTCTGAATTTGTGATGTGTTAGATTTAGCCCTGTAATTTAATCTCACCATGACACTGGATGTATAAGGTTAAACTGGACTCCTCCTGTAGCCCATATGCTGTGATCAGATATGTATAAACAGTTCTATGCTATTTTGGCTAATAGTCATAAGGAAAGTACAATGACTGAAACTCATACTGTTTGGAAACTCAAGAGGTGACAGAAAATGTGCTATAAACACATTCCTTAGTGGCTCTCTTTCATGCTCAACACATTGAGTGAGCACACAGAATGGAAGTCTGATGGCCGAATAATCCCCTTTCCAAAGCAACTCACTGAACCAACGACTTACCCAGATATAAAGGCCTTGCAGGACTAGTAAACATGGTTAGAAAACCAGCTATACCAATTCTGCAGTCACTTCAAGCTTCATTACATATGCACTCTTCTGTCACTACTAAGAATGCTTTTCAGTGAATCAGATCTTTTGTTTGTGGTGTTAACTTAGTTTAACATAGAAGGATAACTTTATTCAAAACAAGTAGTACCATTTAGTTCAATAAACCAGGTAACAGTGATCTGTCTGTTACCCAGTTTGCACCTTCGGCTGCTCTGGAGAAGTCTAGGTGCTGGGATGAAGATTCTGAGGAAAGATGAGGCCCAGCCTTTGGATTTAATTATCCATTTGGGCCTCACTGAGAATGAGGTAGAGTTCCAGTTAGAGGCTTCCTGAGACATGGCTGCAAAGTGGGTTCGGTAATATGATCTCCCCCTTGAACTGTTTTGTCACCTTTTCAGGACCTGCAACATAGGGGGGAACCTGAAATCTTCACATTAACAAAAGTAGTAAAAAAATGAGGTCAATTTGTGTTTATCTTTAATTCTGTATGGTATGTGATTCAACCATAAGTTGGGCCATAAGGAACGCCGAGTGATGAAGGATTAAGTTACTTTGATTTGAGGAGCCGGTGGAGACTCCTGAGAGTTCCTTGGACTGCAAAGAGATCAAACCAGTCAATCTTAAAGGCAATCAACCCTGACTGCTCCTTAGAAGACCAGATACTGAAGATGAAACTCAAATAGTTAGGCCACCTAATGAGAAGGAACAACTCACTAGAGAAGACCCTGCTGCTGGGAACGATTGACGACAAAAGGAGAAGGGTACGGCAGAGGATGAGGTGGCTAGAGGGAGTCACAAGCTTAAGTGGACTCCAGGGGATGATCAAGGACAGGATAGCCTGGAGGAATGTTGTCCATGGGGTCATGATGGGTTGGACACGACTTTGTGACTAAACAAAAACGTGATTCAACAGGTGTTTGCTATTATTGTTAAATTAATATTTGTGGTTGCAGTGTTCTTGAAGGAAAGCCACCATGAGATCTAAACATGATTCATTAGAAATCTTTTGTTTCCTTACACACCATCAATTCTCTTGCCCCATTTATTTTATGATCAATGAAATCAGCATCTGGAATTTTCTAGAGAAATGAATAATTATCCAAACATTGCATCAACTATGAACCATAACTATAATTTTGAAATGGTAGCAGTAAGTATTAACTTTATTCCCTTCACCACTCTCAAATTACCTTCCTATCTGCTTAAACAAACAAACAAAAGTCCTCCATTTGGAAGGTTGGCTTGTGTCCTAATGCATGACTGAATTTTACATCCACACATACAGAACTGCCCTCATACTTTGTTTTCAGTGAGCAGAGTGCAGTATTACATGAAAGTAATGAAGTTTTACTCTGAATATTTGTGGTGTGCACTACACTATTTTTGTATCACCCATCTGTGACTTTGTCATATGCTGGCTATGCTTTCAGAAGTCATTTAACTTGAAACTACAAAACTGCCAGTATCATCTAGAGCAATCCAAATCCACTGGATTGCTCTAGACAGGACCAAGAGTTAGGCTTGGGCAGCTGGACAAGATGCTTCTACTGTTGCCCATTCCTCTGATGATGTTGCTTTGAACTAGATGGTCATCTTGGCTGCATACCAAACCTTTCAAAGCATGGAGACATGGGATAGAGAGAGTTATACGCGTACATCTGGTTTTTACCTGGATTAACGGGATGGTGGGATCCTCTTCGCAAAATGGGACGTCAGCTCTTAGGACCAAAATTGCCAAGTGGAGACCTTTCTTTCCAAAGTGCTGCACTAAAGCTGCTTTCACTTCTTGCTGTACCTGTTCTTTGCTCAGGCTGCTGTGAGGATATCCTGGAGTGTCCAGCACACACATCTGCACACTGAGCTCACTCCCCTGCCGACGTGCAAAGTTTGACAAGAAACAGCTGCGGCCTAGACTGCAGGACATGGTCACAGAGTGTGGAGAAAACTGACTAGCAAAGTCTGTGCTGCCTAGAAGGGTATTTCCTGTGCTACTTTTGCCACTCTGTGTCCTTCCAAGCAAGAGAAGATTGATGGTCATCTTGCTATCTTCTTTGGACATAGTGATATCCCCTCACAGTCCTGAAAAGAGAGAAACATAGAAACAGAGCGAGTCAGAAGGGGTCTCCCAGGCCATCTAGTCTGACCCCTGGCTCCACTCAGGACATGCCCACCTTGGGCATGTCTAGCCTATCTTTGAACACCCTCTTCAATGGGGCCTCAACCACCTCCCATGGAAGCCCATTCCATACCCTCAGGGTCCTAACTGTCAGGAAGTGCTTCCTGGCATCTAAATAGAACCTTGGTTCCCTGAACTTTGCTCTGTTGAAGCGCGTCCTTCCTTCCTGTGCAGGGGAGAACAGTTCTCTGCCCACCTCCATGAGACATCCCCTCTCATACCTGTATGTCGCCAACAGATTCCCTCTGAGTCTCCTCCAGGCTGAAGACACCCAGTTCCCTCAGTCTCACTTCATATGGCATCCCCTGCAAACTGGCCACCAACCTTGTGGCCCTCTGCTGCACTCTAACCTGGCTATATCATTCTTGTAATGAGAGTTCCAAAACTGAACACAATTACTACAGCGGTAGTAATACCTCTCTCGATCTAGAAGTCACACTTCTGGCTATGCAACCAAGGGTGGCGTTTGCCCCCTTGACCACTGCATCACACTGCTGACTCATGTTCAGCCTGCAGTCAACCAGCACCCCAAGGTCCCTTTCACAAGTGCTGCTCTCCAGCCACTTGTCCCCTAACCTGTACTTATGACACCTATTCCTATGCCCCAAGTGCAAGACCTTGCACTTATCCACACTGAACACCATCCTGTTGTCTCCTGCCCACTTCCATAGTCTGTCCAGATCCTTTTGGATCTGGCATACTTGCTCCTCAGTTGTGGCCACTGCCTCAGTTTTAGTATTGTCTGCAAATTTGATCAGCAGACTGTTTTCCCATAGAAATGGAGAGACAGAGAGAGATTGAAATTTGGCAAACATGGCAGGAGAATATGTCAGCATGCTTATTAGAATACAGCTCCCAGCATGTTTGGGCATACTGGGAACTGTAGTCTAACACTTCTGGAGGGCAATAGGTTAAGGAGATGAGTATACTGCAATCAGTATGGTAGGTAAAGACTAGGAATAGTTGGGTGGTTGGGTGTAGCCAGTTGTGAAGCAATGTGGTTATGGGGTCAGAACTCATGTGAATGCAGTTCTCGCAAATTTTGTTTAACAGGGGCACTGATGTCATCTCCCAACTCAATTAAATTCTCTTATTCTCAGTAGCCCCTTTTTGGGGGGTTGGGGGATTAAAACCAATATACAGTGGTGGGGTCTCTCTGGTAATGCAACATATTTTGGACTGTTTTTGAAGGGATAAATCAAACCCCAAGTTTTCATTAAAAGACGTGCTTCAGTTAGAGATAAAAACTGCTAGATTGATTTGTTGATATGCATCCACATATCTGCCTGATTTTCAATTTCTCTTTGGCAGAATGGCTATGAGGACCACTTGAATTTAAAATTTGCTACTATTTTGCAGATAGTAAATCATAGAGGAAATATATCTGTCTGAGCTACTTCTTCTGTTTCCTAGGAATAAAAGCAATAGTAATTCCAACAAATGCATGCAGTGTTTGGCTGTATATATGGTTCAACATGTTTTTTATTTGGAAAAAATGGCATGGGCAACTGGTACCATAAGCATGAACCAATTCTGACTCATCCTTATTATCCTCTTCATGCTATTTGACCATACTGAATAAACAGTGAGGGATCAGAATACAGATCTTGCAGTCTCATACCTAGTGGCTGTACATGGAGAAAGGGGCATGGTCTTGTGAGGAACCCAGGAAAGATTAATTTTGCCCTCACGACTGAGATGCCTTACTGAGATAGAAGGAGCAGAAGCTTTAAAAAGAGAGCAATCCTATTTCTCCAGATATCGGTGTGCATGTGGATTGGATGCTTTGGATCCCAAGATTGGAGCTGAGCTCTGAACATGGAGCTGGGGCTCCATGCTCCAATCCCACTCCCCCTACCCCTGTTTGCAGCGAGGAAAGTACCATACCAACTGTCACTTTGACATTGCAACCTCAACTTGGAGAGAGGCTAAAGGGGGCATTCTGGGGAGGAGGGGATGGTACTGGGGCCACCAGCATATCATATATCCTGACTGCATGCCAGCCTCAGGCTGACTCACTCTGAAACACTCGTGCTATATGGCTGGAATCAACTGTCTGGCTGAAATACAGAGCAGAAGGTGTACTGCACTGGGTACTCATAAGCCTTCTAACGTATGTGGTTTCAGAGCATTGGGTCTGCAATTGAATGAACTGCGAGGCATGAAATAATGGTCTGGCTTGGACATAATGGCAAACCAGGAGCTTAGTGTGATGGGACTGATTCTCCACAAGCCTCAGGATGCTAATTCCTTCTGCTACATCGCCACAGACAGAAGAATGCAAGTATCTCCTTCCTACGTTATACCAACTGGAGTTTATTTCTCCAGAAAGTGAGTAAAATTTTGGTTTATTACACCAAAAATTGAATGTTATAGCACCTTGAACAAATAATCTATTTATTCTGGCAAGGATTGTTATGAGGAGTTCAGTTTAATATACATATGAGAGGGTAGAAAGAAGTTAAGTGGCTATTCTGAGTGGTCTGGGTTCTAAGTGTTTGTTGAAATGCAGTGGAGCCACGAGCCACAGATTTGCTGATGGGTTGGACTACAGATACTACACAACTCCCACAGCAATAAAAGAAGACTGGCTTTTTGTAATAAAAGTACCGTTCTTATTGGAATCCTGATAAACTATGGAGTTTTAAATATACCAAAAGACCCAAAGGGGAAGTTTATAAAGATTGGGTAGCTAATATTCACAGTGCTCATTTATAAGGTATCACACTCCTAGTGCTTGACCTGACATAATTTATTCTGACTGTGTCCCATTCAGTGATTTTCACTCATAGGAGTTTACATAACTCCTCGAGTGAAAGCCAGAGCAGAAACAAAAGTATAAAACACATGCCCTGTTGGTAAGAGCTACCAGTTCAGCATTTCTAGAGGTTTTAACTGAACCCACGGTGAAGGAAAGAATACCCCATGATCTAGTAAAAATAAGTAGGAAAAATGTCCTTTCTTAAGAACTGTACATCTTGCTCTCTAAATAACAAAATGCAACCCGTTATAGTGGATAAATGGTTTATGATGTATCAGCATGGTTGATACATTTGGTTTAGAGCAATTTACTATAATTCATAATAAGAATAGCCCTGCTGCATCAGACCAAAGGGCCCAACTAGTAACTGGTATTCAGAGCTATATTTAATTAATTTCTATACCACCCCTTAGTCAAGGAAAAAACCTCTTAGAGGTTTACATAATCAAAATATCCAAATAAACATCAAACAATGCATTAAAATAAAAAAATCCTTCAATATAGCAACAAGATTAAAATAGCAACAAGGGGCCCAGAACAGCAGCACACAATTAGCCCAAGGATAGCAGCAATAAAACACAGTAAAATGTAATATAGTTAAAATAGAGATTCTAAAAGAATTAAAATTATAAACTGTTAAAATACAGGGTAAATAAAAAGTTTTTTACTTGTCACTGGAAAGAAAAATATGTGGGCACCAGGTGCACCACCTTGGGAGCTGATTCCACAGTCAGGGTGCCACTGCCGAAAAGGCCCTTCCCCTAGTAGCTACATTCTTTATTTCCTTTAAAGGTGGATCTCTGAGAAGGACCTCAGATGATCCTTCAGGGTCCAAGTAGGTATATATAGGAAAGACTGTTCCTTTAGATAACCTGCTCACAAGCCATTTAGGACTTGAAATATTAATGTAAGCACTCAGGACCCATAGCCTTGATCTTGGGGAGGGATTCTCTGGAAAGCAACAATTTTAGGCAGAGGAGGTATGTGTAGATGTTGCTTTCTATCAAATTTCTTACTGGTTGCCTTGTTCATTCAAATGCTTTAGGAAACTATATACTTTAAAGCAAACAACATTGCATCGTATATCACCTGTTCGTGAGCTGAGTTGCTGCAACAATGCATATTACAATTTACACGTAGCAAGAAATATTTCTACTCTGATGTAGAATAGCATCAAAAATATTTTGAACCTCAGATAGTGCTTAAGTTTGCTTACCGTTTTCTTTCCTATATATGTCTCTCTGTTCAGCTTCTATCTTTAGGAATCATGTCCGTGATGGGTCTAGCTTGTACTTTGAATTGGATATTGCTAATGTACCAGAGTGTTACTGACACGGGCTTTTTACTCTGGTTAATTGGTTACAGAGTGGTTCTTATTTATTGCTGATAAGAATGGCCCAATTGTATGGCTTGGCTCTTGGCTTCCTCATAATTGTTCAGTGAGGTGTCTGTTTTTAGTTTGCTTTCTCCAGAGGCCAGATTAAGAATATTGTGAAAAATATCATTTCTAGATACCCTGCTGTTTGGAAAAGCTGGTATCCTGAATAAGACTGAGAAGAAGGTCCTGCTCCCTTTACTATTCTGATTTCTCCCTTTTTTCTTTTTTTCTTTTTCTTTTGGCCTCTTTCTGCTGAGATGCCTTTGGTACTCAGGCTCCTAAGAATGGAGAACAAGTGGCGGCCAATCCTAGGCCAACAGGGGTGTGGAGCTATAATGGCTCCAGGTGATGGATGCTCCCCTGGTCCATGCCCCAGCATCATCCCAGGGCCAGACTGACATCAAGGGGTGGGGCATCCCTTGTCGTGGCACTGTCTGTGTCTCACCTACTCCACATGGAAGGTGATGATTGAGTGAACCACATAAAGAAACTGAGGAACAAGCAGAGTGCACTCAGAGGACATTTCCAGGGTGGTCCAGAAAGCCCTGGCTGAGTAACCTGCAGGTTTTGCTTGTCTCTTGGCACTCAGCTTGCTTCTTTCCCTCCCTTCATGCTACTCTTCTGCCTATTACAAGGCAAGCTGTGCACAGCACCATTCTCCTCTCATCCCTGATCATAAGTGAGAATCCTCTTACTGCCTTTCTAAACCCCCAGTTTTCTTTGAGAGGGCTCTGGGAGGAAAGG